ATCCATGGACTGAGCAACTTTGTTGAAGATAACAGTATGTAATGTAGCAACCATTGTTAATTTCTACCATTTTTTTCTGAGGTCATGCATCGTTTTTGTGTTGTTTTGATTTTATCTTCATTGTTGTTGTTTTGTTAGGTTTTTTCCCTTTAAAATAAAAAAAAAAACACTTTGAAAGCCCATGGTTCTAGAAGATGGAGAAGTGAAACAAACAAATAAAAGTAACTACTGTGAATAATAAAGGAGAAACAAGATGGTATTTCTTTAACAGCATGGGGAGTAGGGATGAGAAGCTTAGATTGGAAAAGAAATGAAGAAGTTGAATATGAAAAGAAAGAGAAAAGCTCAGTGACTGGCTTGTGTGACCAGGAGGGGACCAGGCTTACATTCCTGATCATGGGGATGCCCAACGGACTTTCAAAAGCAAGGACTGTATCCAATAGCCCATGGTGAGTGCCTGTGTAGTGGTATAAGTTCCCATTCTGTGACTCTCTAAGCTTTGAGTCAAGTTCTTCAAGTTGCCTGGTGATGGAGATGCTCACCTTGTGGGTATCAAGGCAGGAGACTGCACTCTAGATTTGGGCCAATACAGGGCAACAAAGGAGACTGCAAAATAGCCACAGGAGGGGAGAAGTGCGTGGAAGGGCTTCCTGAGCGAAGAAAACTTGACAGGCTGCTGCTGTGATGGACGGCAGTGTGCACAAAGAAGGCCTGGGCTGACACGCACACAGACACTTCAGTCACTCAGTGTCAGTATCAAGAACAACACGACTCTCTGTGGTGAGGACAATGTTTGGGGTGAGTTTTTATGGGAATAACATCAGTATTAATTGATTTCTTCAAATGTGCCAGGCACTTTTCCCAAGTCCTTTACATGTATTGACTCATTTAATTCTTACAACTACTTAACTAGGCAAAATTATTACTTCCATTTATAGATGAAGCACAACCCAGCTAGGAAACTTGTCCGAGATCACACAGTTTTATGTGCCAGAGTTGGGATCTGAGCCCAAGGAGCTGATTTACCAGTGCGTGTTCTTACCCTATCAAGCCGTGCTGCCTCTTAACAATGCTGTCTTCTTTCTTTCCTCCTGATGACTCAGTCATACATTAACACAGATAAATGAAACAGAACAACGAAGACTTTCTGTTGACCTCACATAATCCTGATTTATATCTCAACTAATACAGTCTTAGGTCAGAGGTCAGACTTGTACTTTGCACAGCCCGCCTCGGCCCCAGTCCCCCTGCCTCCCAGCCCGGCCCTTTCAAATCTCTCTCACACTGATCACTCTGTGCTAGTAGTTGTACCGATTAGTTTCCAATGTACGTCATGTGGGTCTGTTTCTGGCTTGCATAGATGTTGTCTGTCTCACACTTCTGAAAGCCAAGAACGTCAGATGAAGTTAGCATCACGCCCTACAGGCTGTCTCTTTCTTGATCCTTATTTTATGAGTGCAGTTGCTGACAGGAACCGTCTGAAGGACATCTTGCCGTGGATTCTGACCCTTCCCCATCTTCTCCCAAGCCCCTAGCAATACCAGCATTCCTAGTGAACTGGCCTGGTTCCCGTTTATGGAACACATCACTCCAGATCAAGAGGCCGTCCGCTCTAGAAGGGCTGAGAACCTGACACACACATGGAACAGACCAGTGGCCATGCACTAAGACAGAGGACCTGATCCCAACGCAGTTTCCAGCTTCCTCACTCTCTGCCTCGTCGGCCGCTCGACTCAAACCCTTTATTTTTTCAGAGAGCTGCTGTTCTGCTGCTTCGAGCCAACGGCCCCTCTCAGGTCTTCATCTCAAATAAAGCGTGTGCTGCTGCAAGTCTTTCTCTCACCTTTTATTTCCTACGCATTCTGCCCTGTCCCCCAGAGAGGGGCAGCTAAACAGAGCTGGCGAAGGCCGAACTACACTGCCAGTCTGTGCTCTCCGAGCTCTGCCCGTCACTCTTTGTCACCTTTGATCATCATCGTCTGCATTCACTCACCACTGTAAGCCTCCACCATCCTCAAGGCCCTCGCTCTCTCTCCTTGTGGTAGCAGATAATACTGCTCACAGCTTTACCCAGAACCTGCAGCCAGCAACCGTAGGCAGCTACAGCTCCTCCTTATGCTCCCCGCTGCGTCCAGATTCTGTAAGTCAGGTGGTGACAACACTACTCCCTCAGCACCCAGGACCCTCGGTTCCTTGTCAAGCTCCCGCACACCAACGACCAACTCTCTCCTAGCAACTCCCAAGTACTTCTCAGACTTGTTCCTACCTTGTCGTCCCTTACAGCACTGACACAGGACGGCCTTATCGTCTTTTAGAACTGGCTCTCCATGGCTTTTCTCCTGGCTGCAGGGCTAACTCACACATTCGCCGTTTTGATTAATTCAGACACACTTTCTCCCCATTCAGCCCGCCTTGACTGTCCTAGCTCCACCCTCACGTACAGGCTAAAATGTAAGCTAAGCTCCTCCCCCTCCGGTATATTATTCGCGATCATACCATCAGGCTTATGTGTTTTAAAGCCTATCTTGTTTTTCAATCCATCTCAATCAGGGCAAGATAAAAAGGGTTAGACTGTCTCCGCAGCGCCCCCCCCCCCCCACGTGGCTGGATTATCTGTGTGGCTTTCAACCTTCTGCTTCAGGAGAAAGGAACTGAAAAGGAGAACATTTTCTCTGTTCTGTTTGGCTTGTTTTCTGGAACTCCGGATCCAGCAATGGCAGACCAGCCTTGGTGCCCGGGGCTGTCAGTCTAATTACTTACACAGCTGACATGCAGCAAACCTGGGGTGATGGAGAAGCACGTTTAAGGAAAACACAGCATATAAAAGAAAGTTACTAAACCAATTATTTTCTATTATAGGAACCGTGCCTTATCCAGGTGAAGTTGTGTTTGGGCATTTTAACGCCTTCTGACACCTTCGAGGAGGAGGCTCTCTCCCGAGCCGGTCCGAGCACGCCCCTGTAACCGCCAGTTGCATCGGATGCACGCGGTTAGCACGAACACCACATATTTTGGGGACTCGTCATGTCTCAAAGCAGGAGCTTCCTCTTGGTGGATGGAGGCACGTACCTGCTCGTTTCAGCTCACCTCCTCCCTCCTCCCCAAAAGGCTAAGCAACTGAGGAAAACGGAACCCTGAGCTCATTTTTTAGGAACTTAAGAGAAGTATCAGAGTTGGCAAGAGTGAGCCTGCCGCCTCCAAACCCTGCCTCCTCCCTGACCTCCGTTCGCTTTCATTTAATTACCAAATGCATGTTAATTGTTGTAGGCAGAAAGGACGAGGCACTGCAGGGAAGAAGGGAGCGTGACACAGTCCCCACGGTCAGCAGTCACGCTACAGGGCTATGACGCACACACCCATAATGCAAAGTGCAGCAAGGCGTCTCGAAAGCTGCCCAAAGTCCCAGGAAAAGAGACAACGCACCTTGTGCCTGGGGCCCCTCTGCACAGGAGCTGCCATCAGGAGAGCTCTACTCATCACTGCCTGGCAGACAGCTCGTCCTCGGGTCCTTTGGTATCTGAGAAATGGGGGCATCTATCAGCTATTGTCAAAGACTCAGGGTTCCCTAAAAGACTTCATGCACAGCCCAGTACCCCCAAAGTCGTAGGAACTCAGCAAATGTTAGTGTCTTGTGCTTTGATGGTGTCTTTGAGATGAGCTTCTCCTCCAAATAGACGGGAGATTTATGGGGAGAGGCAGGACACAGAGCGGGGCGTTTTAAGGAGATACAGAGGTGGGGGATGTAGATTTTGTCGGGAAACAGTAAACACTCCAGTTTCATTACGGGGAAGCAAAGACATAACTGGGAAAGTGGACTGCGCCACCCTGAGGGAGAGGCAGTACCTGGAGAGGCCAAGTGTGGAAAGGGTAAGTCTGGGCTTCAGAGCCACATTGCTGGGGCCCAGACTGCGGCTCTGACACAGCATTCCCTGTGTAACCCAGAAGCTGCTGCTCTGTGCCTCTCTTCCCACCACGTATCAAACAGGCTTCCCAAGAGAGCCTTTGCCATAAGCCTGCTCTGCAGATTGAAAAGGTTAAAATCTGTAAAGCAAGTAGAACTGTGTCTGGCATATAGTAAATGCTCAATAAATGTTAGCCAGCTCTTACTAGCAGACTGAGCTATTTATCATGAAGTTTCACAGGTAGAAGTGCATACCATTCAGAGGAAGTCAGGTCTGCTCTCACAGGCTGAGCAAAATCTGAAATCCAACACTTTTTGAGCTCTGACATGACATCCCAGGAGGACATTTCTATACCATGCGACTTTGTATCATGCACAATATTATTAAAAATATTGTAGCAAGTCACCTTCTGCTGATGTGTATATGGTATACATGAAACATACAGGAATTCTGTGCTTAGATGTAGGTCCCATCACCAAAATATACCATTAAATATATGCAGATATTTCAAAATCCAAAAGTATCCCAAGCATTTCAGATGATGGAATTCAACTTGTACTAAGAAAAACAGGCTTTTACGGTCAACAACGGCCCTACCTATTTACCCGGTTGACCAGTATGGCAGCTTCTTAGCAAAGGATGAACAGTGTGAACTATTCCCTTAGACTTCCTACTCTTGGGATGCAGCCCTGCAGTTCCACCCAGGTAAGTTTTGCTGCCAGCAGCCACCCTGCAGCTTCCTGCCAGCAGCAGGCACCACCCCGTCTTCCTTGCTGGGAACTGGAGGTACAGCCTGTCACCCTGGGCGGGAAGATGACTCAGTGGCCAGAAACTACCTTTAGCAACAATGCTTCAGGTTTTTGAGTATCACGTTTACAAAGCAACTACCAGCCTCTGGGCTCAGGGGTTAGAGATGGTTATCAACAGCCCCAGCCTCGCTGGACTGCAGCCCAGCACTCAGCTGGTGCGAGAATCCTCTCAAAGAGGGCGCTTCCCCCGAGGCCCGGGCAGATCCCAAGCCCCTCTCTGCAGACCTCACCTTCAGCTGGCAGGCGGATTTGTGGTGTCCTTGGGGTTAAGAACATGTAGCACTTCCTGAATAAGGGATAAATGGTTGGAATGAGGATTTTTGCTCCCTGGAAACCTACCAGGAGAAAAATTTGACTCCCATGGTTTAGAGAAGAGCCAATAGACATAATGTTAAAATCAAGACCTAATCCCTCAACCAAGGGAAGAAGCTGGGGAGGAAAATGTGTGTGGGGGTGTGTGTGTAATATCTCTGGGATGAGAGGGGTGGGGTCAGTTCCACAAGACTGGAGATCATTCATCTAAGGATCAGAAAAAAGAGGCTTGGAGACCACAGACTGCTCAAAACCCCTGAGACTGAGACGGGGTGGTGCCTGCTGCTGGCAGGAAGCAAGGGGTGCTCGGCTCTGAGCAGTGTGGCATGAGACCCAGTGAGTTTACGTTGCAAGGGCAGGAGCCTGAGCACCTACTTCTCAATGGCCCCTCGGTACTGAAAGGGACTTACTAGGGTGCACCTTTTTAGACTCGGGTGCTGAGCTGCCTGAACTTAATAGTTTGTTGGGGGAGTGCTAAGAAAAGATCCCAGCCCAGGATCTGCAGTCTTCAAGGAATTCTCTCTCTCTCTCTCTCTCT